AAAACCCCTTAAACCCTAAACCCCTTCTCCCCGAAGAAATGAACGGCCGCCCCCCATAGCCTCGAGGCGATCTCCTGGGTCAGAAGCTCCTCCAGCTCCGGCCTGAGTGTTCCGAGGCTTCTTTCGGGTTTTTTGGGGAGTCGAAAGAAGGGCTTCAGGGTTTAGGGTTTAGGGCTTATGGGGTTTAGGGATTCTTTGGGGGTCCTTCTTTGGGAAGTATTTTTTGGAGTGTTCCCAGAGACTCCAATATCCCTTAATTAAGGAATATACCTTAAAGTATACGAGGGATCCCTAATATGATTTCAGGTATATTCCTTAATTAAGGGATATTGGAGTCTCTGGGTTCCGAGGCCTCATTTTGTGGTTTTTGGGCGTCGAAAGAAGGGCTTCAGGGCTTTAGGGTTTAGGGCTTCTGGGTTTAGGGTTTAGGGCTTCGGGTTCTTTGTTGTTTAGGGTTTGAGGTTTCCAGCCTTTAGGGTTTGTAGTCGCAGGGGGGCTTTAGAGGGGGAGTCTGCAAGGAGGATTGGGATTGTAAGGGGGTTTAGGTTTGAGGGGTTAGGGTTTGCAGGGATTAGGGATTCTTTGGGGGTCCTTTTTTGGGCAGTCTTTGGGATTTTAGGGCTCCAAAGGATTCTACAGGGTTTTGGGATCCTAAACTCTTGGTTTTGGGGACTTTCGAACGGAAGGCCTCTGTAGGTTTTTGACAGGGTTGCCTAGGAGGTTTATGCGGTTCTTCTTTTAAAAAACTAGGGCCCCCTAAACCCTAAACCCTAAACCCTAGGGAAGTCTTGCGGGCTTATTCCCGGGTTCTCGGAGTTTTTCCGTGGGTTTTCGTGGGAGGATCTCAGGCATCTCCTGGAGCTCTGTGGGTTCTGAGTAGAGGGCTTCTGCTGTCTGTTAGATGGGTCGTTGAAGAAGGGTGGTACAAGGTTTTGTGAGAAGGATATGGGAAGGTTTTTGCTTCAATGACTGGTGTATATATATATACATACATACATACATACATACATACATACATACATACATACATACATACACACATACATATATATATATATACATATATAGAAATAATGTGTGTGTGTGTATATGTATGTATAAATAAAGAAATAAATAAATATATAAAATACTAATTAATTAGTCAATAAAAATTAACTAACTAACTAACTAACTAACTAACTAACTAACTAACTAACTAACTAACTGACCAACCAACCAACTAACTAACTAACCAGTTAAGTAGTTAATTATATATTATAGTATATAGATAGATTGATTGGTTGATTGATAGGTAGAGATATAGATCCAGATATAGCTATAGATATAGATGTAGATGTAGATATAGATACAGAAAGATAGATAGAAAGATAGATCAATCCATAGATCGTGTTGCTTTGGGTGTAGGATGCATTTCCTTTCACTCGGGGGTTGCAAAGAAAGGGTGTTTATAGACTTTTTTCATAGGCACCGGGATCGAACCATAGTTTTGTTTAATACGCTATTGTAGGCACTGGACTTGGGCTCCCTGGGTAAGGAGTGCGTCTGTCGAGGCTTTGGCACTCTTGGGATGTAGCTTCAAAGATGTTTTAGGGCTTGGGGATCCTAAACCCTAAGCCCTAAGCCCTAAACCTTTAAAGGTTGGGGCTCAGGGGTTTGAGGGAGCTATGGGGTTCGAGGGTTCACGGGTTTAGGGCTTGGATTTCAGGTTCTGGGGCTTCGGGCTTCGGATCGCAGTGTCTTGGGGTGTTTAGGGGTTTAGGGTTTAGGGGTTTAGGGGTTTAGGGTTTTGGGTTTTGGGGTGTGGCAACAGCGGCGGGACTGCAATGTACGTCAACATCTCGAGAATCTGTTGGCACACCCCGGCTGGCATGGATCCTCGCATGTCTTGAAGGTGATACCGATACTGATAGCTTCATGGCGCGCAGTTGAACCTGCTGAGCCCCTATGTCGTAAGCTCTCCATTGTACTGGGGCGCTTTCACGCAGTAATGTTGTGGATTATATCTTCGATTCAGTAGTGGAGTAATGTTTTGTGGATACATGACATGGCCGTCTTGTTGTACAGCTGTTTTGTTTCGGCTTAACCTTAAGCACCGGTTTGGGATCCTTAGGATCTCGAGGCGTGGAAGGTGCTTGGAGGCCCCAAGTCTCGAAACCCGGTAGGCAAGAGCCTCAAAGGAGTTCAGGGTTTAGGGTTTAGGGTTGAGGGTTTAGGGTTTAGAGTTTAGGGTTTAGGGTTTAGGGTTTAGGGTGCTGCAAGGGCCGAAGCAAGGCACACGAGGTTTTCGACGTGCTGGATACTGGAAGTCTTGCGATTACAGCGGAAATCTTGGCTGCTAAGATAGAGGCTCAAACCCTAAACCTGGAAAATGCTTCCGAGCTAAGCTTGCAAGAGGCGCAAGACGGAAGCAACCAACTGTCGGTGTGAGCGAATCTCATCACTCCAAAAAATCATCAGTGGGATCTCTGCCCTGAAACACCCGAAAGCATTGCCCCCAACATCGCCCCTTCTGGATCTAAGCGGGTCTGAGTCTAGCGACACTTTGATCAAGTCGTCGACCGCCTTTGCCGTCTCCTCGTCACCCTCCTCGGACAAGGCTGGGAGGCCATGGTTCTAGCGAGATGCTGATGAAACGAGCGATGATGGCACCATCAATGGTAATAAGTGCGACAGATTTGTTGTTGTTGTTGCTGCTGCTGTTGGTGTTGCTGGTGTTGCTGTTGCTGACGCTGTGGCTGCAGCTGCTCCTGCTGCTGGTGCACTGTTGCTGTTGCTGTTGCTGTTGCTCTTGGTGTTGTTGTTGTTGTTGTTGAGACTTTTGTCATTGCCAAGATCACCATACTCAGCTTCATATGCTGAACAACCCTACGGAAGCATTGATAGGCAGGGCTACACTCATGATACTTCAGTCGCGCGAAGCAACAGTCGTACATCTTGTGCCCTACCCCTTCCCGATTGTTGACAGACGTCAACCCTAGAGGTTACGGTTTAAGGTTACTTGAAGGCCTACTTTAAAGGGTGCTAGTAACTGCTGCTAGTAGGGGTTGCTAGAGGACTCCACTCCCTTCAAAGCTCCTTCTTGGTCTCCTTGCCGCTGTTCACCAACTTCAAGAGCTCCCAGAAGTCCTTAGATGTTAGGGTTTAGGTTTTAGGGTTTCGGGGTTTAGGGTTTAGGATTTAGGGCCACATGCTTGTGGGCTCTGCAGGCTTACGAGACCGTGGTTGCAAGTTTAACCCACTCCGACCAAGGGCTTCGCGTCTTGAACTTTGACGGTGTTGCTTTCTTGTGTTTTGTTTGTGAGCTTTGTTGGATGAAAGCTCAATTCGGATCAGCACGCTGGAAGATGGACTGAACGCTCCAAGAACCTTGCAGACTTTACGGTTCTTACATCCATGACGAATTCGGACAGATGTCGCTCTTCAGCACTTCACCCATCTTGCTGATGGACTGGACCTGGCGATGAATTCGGGGAAAGTCGGTCGGTCTCTTGCAGCTCGAAGCAAAATCCTTGATACAGCAGCCTGCACCCTCTAAACCCCATAAACCCTCAACCCCAAACCTCAAGCCCGAGAAAACTTCTCAAAATTCCGAAACCCCGAACCCCAAACCCCAAACCCTAAACCCCTAAACCCCAAACCCTAAACCCCAAACCCTAAACCCCAAACCCTAAACCTCAAACCCCAAACCCCAAACCCGAAACCCTAAACCCTAAAAGGTGCCCACCTCCACCTTGGTCGACGTCTCTCGGCCGAGATCCACTCGAGGGTTGGCCTCAGCGAAGCTGATGGCCTCCTCCACCTCAGAGAAAACAGAGACAACGAAAATAACATACCATCATTTAAAGGAAACTACAGGTGGGGAGTTTAGGGTCTTTAGGGCGACCATAAGGCTTCAAAAGGTATATAGCCCTTCTATAAGGCTCCTACAACGGCAACTACCCACCTGAAAATGTCCTGGAATCATATACTACAAAAAAACCCTATGGTTTTTTTAGGGCCGAGGGGCTGCAGTGTGGGGCTTGGTTGTTTTTTGCGGCTTGGGGCTTGGGATGTAGGGTCAAAGCTTCAAGCTTGAGCTATCCAGATCCTGGATCCTGCCCTCAGAAGGCAGGCCTCATCCTTAAACCTTAAACCACGAAGCCCCCCACCCTAAATCCCAACAGTTAACACCTATATCCCTATCTCCCTATCCCGTAAGACCCCTGAGAAACCCTAAGCCCCACGGCTGTTCACAAATCCTTCAGTCTCCGCTCCCTGCTAACCCCCTTCTAAAACACTATACGAGACGCTCCTAACGCCCGAGAAGACTCTTGTAAAACGTACATAGAGCATGTTCTTTTGCCTGGCCCTTTGCTTGTTAGACGGGTGGCTTTTGATCGGGAAGCCTCTGTTATGGTAACCTTAAAACCCTAAACCCCCTAACTAACGAGACTCCAGTTGGGGGCTCCAGGTCTGGCGAGCCAGGCGGGCACAGGACTCCTTTTTGGGTGATCTCAGGTTAGGGTTTAGGGCTTAGGGCTTAGGGCTTAGGGCTTAGGGCTTAGGGCTTAGGGTTTAGGGTTTAGGGTTTAGGGTCTCAGGTTAGGTCACGACATGGCCCACGGATAGATCTTTTCGAGGTAGGGCTGATTTCACGGTCGAAGAGAAAAAGGACATCATCACGGACTCGGGACGACATCACACTTGGGCTTCTCACAGCAAGTTCCCGTGGGATCTCCCCTTGAGTGCTGAGCACCTGATGCTGAGCAAATGGAAATACCACTCATGGGGATATAACGTGAAGAAAATGCTTCAGGCACCCAAGGGAATTCGGTTTCTTGACGCCCGAGAGAATCTTGAAAACAAGCCTTGTAGTACCTACTTCATTATCCTTCAGCAGGTTCCATGCTTCTGAGCCCTGCTCTACAGAACTGAACACTACATCCTGGAAGCCAAACCCGTCAGGCAGGGCGGCAAATTGCCGCTCGACGGACTTGCTCTGATCTTTCAAGTGCCGGATGACCTGAGCTAAGCCTTAAGCACTCTCCTAGGAATAGACGCGATATATGGTGCAAGGTCTCGGGTACAGGGATATTATGCTCTCTATGTTAGGACCAGCCTGACGACCTTCTGGCTGTTACTTGCCTTCCGGGGCTTCAAACTGGAAGTGCACCGACGACTTGACGCAACCGTTACTTGTAGAAATCCGGGAGGGCTCAAGTCGTCATTTAGTAAGAGCCAGGGAGCACCAGAAACATAAGGCCACTTTGAAGCTCGAATCTCGAAACCGAGAGCCACGGTTTAGGGTTTAGGGTTAAGGGTTTAGGAATCTCTAAAATGAGTGGCTTTAAACCTTTCCCACAGGTCTTGGTGTACCGATGATGGCGATGACGATGCTGATGATGACGAGGGAAGGCATGATGTCAAATCGGCGAGGACGCTGATCATGTTCGGCTCCAGAAAAAAGGATCTGTTACCCCTAACGCGATGGTTTTGGTCCTCGATTGTATGTGCTGATAATCAACCAACCACTTGCAGGTGTCCAGGTTTTACTCGCAGTAAACATGCTGAACATCAACTGCCCGCAGCAGCGGCCTTGTCGAAGGCCCGAGAAACCATGTCTGTAGCTCGGCCCCTGCGTGTAGGGCACATAAAGGCAAGCTCAAGATAGGGGTGGTTCTTTTCACAATTTGATGGCGGGCTACGGCTTTCGCAGGATTCTTCTTGAAGAAAACATTTTAAACAGTTTGAGCGACACTCACAACCGTCAACTGGCTAGCTATTGCACTTGCACATGAAACTGCAAAAGCACAGGAATGCCACATTATGAAGCTTCTTAGGAGAAGCAACAGATCGAAGGAGCCCCAAACAACACCTTCACATAAACCTGTTTCCGGCAATGTCGCCGCAAAGGAGGGGCGGTTTAGTGACCAAAGTTGTTCCTTGTGTGCTTTGTCGCTTACGGCCCCCCAGAACCTGCTATGCTTTTTTGTTCAGGCCTGCGTTTCAGAACCACGCTTTTTCTTCGACTATTGCTTCAGTCCACTTCTCCTCTGCTTAGCTGTCTTCGCAGCCTTTGGGGAATTTGAGGGGCTGCGACCCCCGAGCAGGCTACGTGTGCGCTTGGTGCGCACTTGACAGTTTTTTGGTGCGAAAGAGACCCTGAATCGCCAAACCTTACGCGAAAAGCACTAAAGCAGACACCGTCAAACACTACCCTAAACCCGGAACCCTCAGCTTCAACCCGCAACTGCCCCTCGCAGAGCTGCTCCACCTAGCCACCCCCAAAAAAAAACCAGCACTGAACCATCAACCCCACCGTTTTTGGGACTACTATAGGGGACCTTAAGGGACTGTCATAGGGATCCATTTCCCCCCTTCCTTTCTAAGAACCAGGGAGTAAGAATCCAAACCCGAAACCCTAGGGACTTCTGCAAAAGGCTGGCCCCCCCACCCTATATAAAATCTCAAACCCAAACTCGACAAAACCCTAAACCCTAAACCCTAAACCCTAAACCGTAACCCCAAGGCCCCCCGAACCCGATACCTGTCCAGCTCACGTGGGCTGATCGTGCGGATCTTCTCGAACTCCGTGGCCAGCCTTCGGCTTTGAGGGGGTTTCATTGGGTCATTTTCTAAGGCTGAGGGGGGTCCTGGAAGGGTTCTATAAGGCTTTATGGAAGGCGTAAGGGCTAGGTGTCTAGGGCTTTTTTATATGATTTAGGGTGTTTGGGGGTTCAGGGATCCAGAAGAGCAAAGCAAAGCGAAGCATCCTATAGCCAAGCCCTGGACGATGCGCTCTAATCTTCTGATCTCCTGAAGCCTGAAACCCTAAAACCCTGGGAACCCCCTACGACCCAAAACCCTTACAGGCCTATATACCCTTTTAAAAACCCTGTAAAGAAGGTCTTGCCGATGCTCTTGGCCTTCGGTTGGCCTCGGGGCTTTTGACATGCAGGACTAGGTGTGATCGCATGACATGTGTTGCCTGGGCATGTCCACAGGTGTGTGTCCCGAGTCTGATCCCTCTCCGCTGTTTCAAAAGAACCACCTGAAAATGTCCTAGACTGTTGTCATCCTCAATTCCAGAGTTCCTGTCACTGCCTTTGGCCGCATGGCACCTGAAACAGCTGCGAAGGCCTCATTAGGTTCAAGACGTCCGCAATCTTCTCGGTGCTGACCTGGTCGCAGACGTCGCAGACGTGCTGGTACATGAGCTCCTGAAGCTGAGGCGGTGGGGAAATTATCAACAAACCAACACCAGGAGTGCTCGAATGTGCTGCAGAAGACAGCAGAGCAATAGACCAACGAAGTGAATAACGTGCAGGGAGATTTCAGCTTGGAGACAGCTTCGGCGACGTGCCCTGCTTGGCAAGCTGCGAAATACTGTCTGTCAAGAGAAGCAGCATGAACATTGAGGGATCCTGCTAACCCAAGCTACGAGTTGAGGTGCCTCCAACATTCGCCCTGTCTTCTCGCTGTGGCTCGCGCATTTCACAGGCAGTTTCCGTCCGGCCTGCTTTGGAGTACAGGCCATAGGGTTCAGGGCTTAGGGTTTAGGAGTTTTGGGTTTAGGGTGTAGGGTTTAGGGGTTTAGGGTTTAGGGTTTAGAGTGCAGGGTGTGTGACGTGTCTGGTTCGGAAGTGGGTTCAACTCTTCCTGTTGAAGGTTGGAAATCTGCTCTGTCTCGAGAGCCCCAGCGCTGTTGCAGAAGAGTGGTCTGAGGACAACAAAGACTCCAGACACTAAAGTCCGTAACATGATTCCAAACCCTTACAACCCGTAGTTGACGCAGCAGCTTTCTTTGCAGCAAACCGAGAATTTCACTGCAGTTTCGCTTTGCTGGATGATCGCCGCTCTGGATCCCTCGAGGTGGATTACGACATCTGAAACTTGATCGGGGATTGATCCCAAAACCGCAAGTCCACAATACGTCGCAAGAGGATTTCGACGCAAAGCAAGCCTTCAACGTGGTTTCATGAAGTACAGAATCTTGGGATTTCTCTGTAGACATAGCTTGGTACCTGCTCCATTGTTCGGAGAAGCTCTTCAAGGATTTGCAGCCCTGAGACACTAAAACCTTGCTGCATGAATAAGCCCGCCTCGCAGATTCAAGCCCAAGACGCAATGAGCCCTCACCACCACCACCACCACCACCACGACCACCACCACCACCACCCCAAAGCGACAACCATCCCAACATCTATGTACCTATGGAAGCAAGGCCGCCAACCTTGGCGCCCACAGGCTCAAAGAGCGCAGCTGGGTAGGCCTCAGCCACCATCTTCACGGTCCTGGATTTGGGCTTACGGGGCCATTTGGGATTTTGAGGTCTATGGTTTGGGTCTTGGGGTTTGGATTAGGTTAGGGTTAGGGTCGCCGGGGCTCGTGAAAGAAGGATTCCAGGACTGTTCGGGGTGCTCTCAAAAAAAAACTAAAATAAAAAGGGAACCCCATCTCAGCAGACTAGAAGCTGTAGATAATAGTAGTTTTATTCAGGGGCGACTTCGCAAAGATCTTTAGAACCAATCACGACATTGCAAACCTTCCCAACGCTGTGCCCAGCGTCTCGCTTTCGAGATTCCTTAGTTCGAAGGTCTTGAACAGAAAGCAAGCAAATCCCACAAGAGCATGCTCACAGAAATGATTAACGGTGGCAGCAGCAGTCGTCATCATCATTGTTGCAGCAGCTGAAGATGAAGAGTTGTCGTAGCAGTAGTAGAAGAAGGTTGCTGGTGGTGGTGGTAGTAGTAGTAGTCGTCGTCGTAGTAGTAGTAGTAGTAGTAGTAGTAGCAAAAGCAGTAGATGTAGGAGTAGGAGTAGGAGTAGGAGTAGGAGTAGGAGTAGGACTAGTAGTAGTAGTAGTAGTAGTAGTAGCAGTAGTAGTAATAATAATAGTAGTGGTAGTCGTCGTAGTAGTAGTAGTAGTAGCAGAGCAGTAGGAAGG